GGAGGCAAAGAAGCAAATCATAAAATCTGGCCGTGGATGGTAAAATAACATTGGTAAGGTTTTGCTGCCACTAATTAACTCTAGTCAACAACTGAAAAAATTGAGCAAAGTATTATTTCGAATGTCACTAAGCTGTCATTGAAATATAAGTGTTTGGAGAAAAGATACTTCTTGGATAAGCACCAACAAGTCTTTTTTTTTTTTTTTAAATTTTCTAGAGGCATGTCTTATTTTATTTATTTATTTGTTTGTTTGTTTGTTTGGTTTATACATGCACTGGGTACAGTCAGAAGCGCGGGAGGGTGAGAGAATTCACCAGAGCCAGAGCGGGGAGCAGAGCAGGCAGAAGGACCGAAGTACACTGCTGAGGGGAGCAGCGGGCGGCAGAGAGGTCTGCGCGCCATGTGGGACCCTCCTCTGGTGGCCGGGGAGCAGCCGGGGATCGAACCGGCACCGCAGTGGCCGCGGGCAGCTTAGCAACCCAGCGCTCAACCGCTGCGCCACCGGGGAGGCCCCAACAAGTCTTTTATCATCCTCCTTCATAGAGTTCAACAATTCTTTGTACCTCTTTCCTATTCCCTTTTCTTGGAATATCTCAGTCCTCATTTGTCTTTACTTTCTTTTATACTAATTACACTCCATTATCTATACAGTCAACCATTTTCCTGCTACTATCAATAATTTTATTTCCCTGGTTTGTATGTTCCTGTTCACAGTGTAATTTCTACAAAGTTTCCTGAGTAAGAACCTTGAATATCTTCACTGACACTATTTTGCTATATTGATGATCACATTTAATCACTAGATCTGTTGATTGTATCTCTTGGCTATCTCTGGACTCTGTCCTTATTTCTCCGGGTGATAACAAAATGTCCTGGACTCTTCTCTCACCTGGATTACTGCAACTTTACCTAAACTGGTCTGTCACCAATAACTAATTTTTCCCCTTTTAATCCATTCTCCACACAGTAGCTAGAATAAACCTTTCTAAAACATAAATCTGAGCCTCCCTGGTGGCGCAAGGGGTTGAGCACCGCACTATAGAGCAATCCACAGCCTCTATAGCACAATTTCGATACTCAGCAGGCCAGAGAGAAACCACATAGCACAGCAGACCTCTCCCGTGGTACCCGCTGCTCCTCTCAGCAGTGTATTTCGGTTGGTCTGCCTGTTCTGTTCCCTGCTCTGTCTCTGGTGAATCCTCTCAGCCCCCACATCTCTGACCTGTACCCCAGCTCTTGTGTGCATAAATAAACGAATCTTTAATAAAGAAAAAAAAATAAATCTGGCCATGTTTATCTTCTATTTAAAACCCCTCACTGCTTCCCACTGTATAGTGTGGTTTACTTACACAGCTCTGCACCAGCTGTCTGGCTCCTGTTTACCTTAGTCTTTTTTTCCCTCTATTCCCTCATTCCCTGGTTTCTAATAATGAACTAAACTTAGGTTTTTGGAAATCCCACAATTTGTTACCTCTGGAGCTCTATGTATTCTCATAGAACATCCTTTTCCCCTGCCTCCATACACTCCTTAATTCCTGTTAATCCTTCAGGTCTCATCTTATCTCTTATTTCCTCTAAGAAGTTCTCTTGTGTAGTTCCTGGCATACAACAGGCATTCATCAAATGACCTTTCTTTCCTAATCCCCTTGTTTTCATTTAAGGTTAGATGTAGTTTGAATTTTGCTCAAGTTATTTTACTTTTAAAATACAAATGATGCTGATTTATATTTTAAAACATTGTTATGAAGGTCTACCAGCAAAACATTTTGAGTGACATGACAAGCTTTGCTATTAATGAGGTCAATCATAAATGTGGCATATGCAACATCATTTAAACCAGTGAGATCAGTGAAATCATTGTTTACTGAGTTTTTTAAACTAAGAGGAAAGTGATTCATTTTGTTGGGTAATTAAATGAGAACATGTACATTCAAAGAAAATACAACCATACATCAATACTAATTTTGAAAATATTTAAAATCCAAAATTTTTTATCACAACTCACAGAAATTCTATCCTTAATCATAAGCAGACAGTGAATGAGAAAATCCTAAGTCCAAGGGCTTTTGCCTATTTCAGGCCTGCAGTCACCTTTGCCTGTGAGTGCTTTGTCTAACACTTAGCCTTAGTCCCTAAGTCTATCATTGCCTAAAACTTCCTGTTGCTAGCACAGACTGCTGTAATAATGGTGTGATGACTCACATCCCTGCCACATACCCACCTCCCCCATTCAGTGTAATACCTCATTCTCCACAACCTTGCAGGGTTACAGTATCTCAGAATGGGGAAGGAAGGGGTGCTCTGAACAGTGAGCTGCTGTGAAGCTGACTGAGTAGGTTGTGACTTGCTTTTCTGTTTTGGGATTTTTTTTCTTGGGGGGAGGGGTGCAAAATGAAATACAATACAGAGAAAGAGAAAATGTCCTAGTGCCTCATATGTTGTCAGATTGAGCATCTTTCGGCCACACATATGTACAGTCAAGATCATGACGTAAAAGCTATTTCAAATGTAGATCCTAGTTTAAAAAACAATTTTAAAACTTTAGGATGGAGACCTAAGTTCTAGTCTAGCATGATTTCTGAGGAAAGTCTTTCTTCCTTCAATTTCACCTCATATCTGCCTCTCAATCACATTATAAATATAATTAAAGTGTACCATTTTAAATATCTAAGAAAAAGGTGCTCACTTTAGATAATGCAAAAATAAAAACAACTCTATTAGTACTCAAAAAAATTGTATCTATCTATTACTACTCAAATAAGTAACCCTGTTGTATGCAGCACTTTCTTTGAAATTGCTTCCTAACATTTTTGTTTCTGTAGCTCTCAGATCCCATATTTCCAGTTTGATAATTGTTAGTTATTTCCATCCTCTGAAGAACTTCATTAATTATATCGGGGGAGGGGGGGAAAGCTCTTCCTGTAAGTTTTGTATTTTAGGATCACTTTCCTGGGTTTTTCACTCTCAATAATTTTTTATCGCCTCTAGATTTCCCTTGAAAACATTTAACTATCCACCTTACCTGTACTTCTTAATTCTCTACTCTTTTATTTGTAGAAATGAGTGTTTTATTTTAATGGAATCCTACAGCATTGTCCTGGTTTACAGTACCTCTCACTGACAGCTCTGCAGCAACTAGCTGGCTGAGGTCTATATCTCAAACTTACCACCTACAACATTCAATCAAACATACAGCGACCGCTGGAATGCATTATTAGTCTGTAGACAACTGTGGCTTATGCACAGTCATTGGGCCCAGTCAAAAAAAGAATCATCCCTGAAGACCATAAAAGCCTGCCTTCTAGATGAAGACTTCAGAAATTTGTCTTTTTTAATCTTTGGGAAATTATCTGTTTGAAAATAGAGTTCATTTGAAAAAAATATAATTTTTTCTGCTTGGTTACTTTCAGCATTGAATTGTACATTTAGAATTTACATTTAGAATGTACTTTAAAATAGGTTAAAATTAAAAACGAAAGCATTATACCAAAAAAGTGTAACAGTGGGTACAGTGCTTAACTCAATGAAGTCTGTGTCTAAGTACATTTTAAGTAATAACATTAATAAGTTGATGATAGTTTCATCTTTGAGTTTTTTTAGTTCAAAATCTGTTTAATCACCTTGACTCCTCCTTTCTTCCCACACCCATGTTTAATAACAACAAAATCCTATTGGTTCTCTTCCAAATAGCTTCATCTCTAACTCCATCTCCACAGTTACCATCCTGGCTCAATCTATCATCATTTCTCAATAGGATTACTGCAAAACTTCCTCATCTATCTCTCCACATCTACTTTTACCTACCTAAGGTCTGTTCTCAACACAGTAGCCACAGGATCCGTTAAAACCTCCGAGAGATCCTACCACTCTTCTACTCAGAACTCTGCAAGGACTCTCCATTTCATTCAAAGTGAAGTCTAAATGCTTACAATGGCTTATGTTTTCTGGCTTCTTATGGCCTAATTTCCTTTCTTTTATTCTTATTATTACTCTCTTATTAATCCTATTACTTCACTTGAACTACATTGGCTTTCTTGCTTTTCCTCAAACCCACTAGGCATAAGCCAGCTTCAGAGCCTTTGAACTAGCTGTTGCCTCGGCTTGAATACTTTTCATCAGACACCTCTATGACTAACCATCTCCTTCATCTCAGTGAATCTATTCTGACTTATACCAACTGAAACCTTCCCTCTCCCCAGGAACCCAATCTTATCTTGCTCCTACTTTTTCTTTTTTCATAGCTATTTATCACATACTAACATATTAAGTACATTTTTATTAAGTTGATTGTTCACTGTTTTCCTCTACAAGAGTGCAAATTTCAAAATGTAGGAAACAAATTTGTATTTATGGCATTAGGTAAGGGAAGTTTAGATAAGAAAATATATTCCAGAGGTACAAGAATTAACATCAGCAAATTGGCTCCAAATTTTGTTTAAAACGTACTTTCCTACCTTGATACAGCAACTTTCTGAGCAGAGATTTCAATTTCAAATTAACATAAATTTGTTTATCTTTTTCAGACACTTGATAAGAAGCAGTATATCCATAGACATTTCACAGGTGTGGGACAGAGAAGGGCAGATCAAGACTCAAAGCTTTCCAAGTCCCTTACAGAAAGGAAAGCACTGCCTATACAGGCTCTTGCTTTGTCCCAAATAATCTTAAAACAGATGGCAAAAGCTAAATACCAAGTCTGCTGTCATGGAAACCACTATCACCGCAGTTCACTCAGAGCCCCACCTCTAAGATAAATGATTTTCTTTGCATTGTTACAATCTGAAGCTGCCAACTTTTAGTCTAAGTCCTAGTAGGAGGTACAGTTACCATACATATACCAGCTTGACAAAATAAATCTGTGAGACTCTTGTTCAGACACAATATCACCTGAAACATTGTTAAGAATTAGCAATACATAGAGAACAGATTTTATGTAATTTACCATGTTATTCTGCATTCAAGTTCTACTTTAATTATATATAAATTTGCACATCTTACCTTAATATTGCAAGCCTGCTCCATCAATCTTCTTGCATTTTCCTCAGCCCTGTATCTCTTTGGAAGCTGAACTCTGAAGAACTTTAAAGCACCTTCAAAATCAGCCTGCAGAAGATCTTCCTTTGAGGTCTGCAAAATATTCACCAAGAATTATCATTATATTTTAGCCTGCACTCAGGACAAATACATTGCAATTTATTTTTTCTATTTCCCTAAACATTCATTTACACATAAGATCTAGGTTAGTTGCAAAACTTTTAAGAAGAGACTTCTAACCTCTTTACTCGAAGATGAAATCACTCACCATGAATCTTCAAAGCAATATAAGAATTAATTAATAGGCTAACTCACTCAATTTCTATTACCTGAAGATTAGAATGGTGGATCTTGGCAAACCTAACCAAGTTATAGAGCTGAGAAAAGAAAAATGTCAGAAAAGGAAAAAATTTGAACTCTGGGAGCAATCTTTGATTTTAACTTCATGGGCATTTTACACATATTATTACAAGGTTGACTGAAAACGCAGGTATGTAACCAAATCACATCAGCTACATAAAAAACCTGAAGGGAAGAGGGCTTTTCAACTAATGACAGCAGCTCAAGTGAAGAAAGTAAGAAATTGATTCCACATCTTCAAGAATGCTATGATAAAAGCAAATGAAGCAAACCGTTTAACTACTGAACTTCTTTCAAAAGCTATTATTTGTAAAATTTACCTCTTTAAAAAATAACTATCATTTGGAAATAAATACATCCGTGCACAGAGAAAAGACTGAAAGGAAATAAAATCCAACATTTTTGGGGATAGTGGCACTATAGGTTGTTGGTTTCTTTATAGTTAGCTATCTTTTTTCCAATAAAGATTTGTAGTGAGACAAATATTTTCATAAATAACTAAGCAATCTTTGGCAAACAGTATGATAGATATTATAAAGACTCAGGTAGACTAAGCATACAGAAATAAAAAAAAAATCAGATGTTTTCAGAGTCAGAACTTAATAGTTCTGTAACACAATTATAATAATTTTATTACATCATCAGTAATAAAATTAAAATTGCTAGTTCATAATGTCACTTTATTTAAATGTGAAGCTGATTGATCTTCAAGACTGCACTGAAAACATAAGGAGGTGAAAGCGCTCATAATATGGACTAAGTTACTGTCATTGTTACAGGGCAGGACCACTCTGTTACATCACCACCTAGTCCACACCATTGCCATTTCTCAAGTAGCCACTGCCACAAACCTCTAACTGGTTATCCTGTTTCTGCTCTTGTTCCCCACAATTTACTTTCCTTACAGCAGCCAAATGAAACTCTTTCAGACCATGACGCCTTTCTGTGTAAAGCCTTCCAATGGTTTCTACTGTGCGCATAATAAAATATTTTCTAATGCCCACAAGATTCTGTATGATCTGGGACTCCCTGGCTTTCCCTCCAACCTCATATCTAACCACATCTCCCTTCTGGTTCTCAAGTTCCAGGCACATTGGCTTTCTTTCTATTTTTTGGATACATTAAGTTCATTCCTCACAGAAGGCTGCTGCCTGGAATATTCTCCTCCTAGGCCTTCATAAAGATTTTGTGATCTAAAAATTATCTCAAATGTAAGATCTGAGTGAGGTCCTTTCCAAGCACTTAAATTCTTCTTTCCTTCCTTAGTGAAAAAAATCAAGTCATTTCCCACCAACTCATTTTCCAGTTTTACATCCGGCCTTATCTTGTGGTTGCTGTATCCACATTGACAAGAATAATGCCCAGAATCCAGTAGGCACTCAAATACAATTTACTGAAGGATGAATTAAACTCTTTATATATTTTTTCTCCAATCTTCCCCTCGTTGAACATAAACATGCAGAATGAAATATTAATTCACACATTAGGCATTTCCACAAGGGATTTGATTGGCTCAACTTTACATCCACAAATTAGTAGTCAGACAAATAGAGCTGGGAAGTGAAAAAAAAAAAAAAACCAAAAAACTTCAGTTGATCTCAGATTTGTTTCCTCCCTCAAAGATATTCACATATGCTAACATAAGTGATAAAGACAATGTTTAGCAGGACAGAGTGCTATCAACTCACCTCAGTTGGAAAAGGCAGTTACTGAGAACAACTTCAGCCCAAAGCAGGGACTCTCCAACTAAAATATCAATTACGAATTACTGGGAAAGCATCAAACTGCCAGATACACCAGACAAACCACATCTCTGGTTTTCCTTTTTCTCTGGTAGTACTGGTTCTGATGATCAGTTCTCTGATAATTGTTGGAAAAATTCAATACAAGCTGCTTATGTGGTTTTGGAGAAACAGGATTAGCAGTTTCTCTCACTATTTAAAAGCCTCTGAGGGTACCTCTTCTATTTTCAGTGAACTAGTTACCTGGTAACAGGTGCCCCCAAATGGCAGGGGCAGTTACATAATTTTCTAATATTTCTCAAAGCCAAATTTTAAAACTACTCTCTGAGTTATACAAAAACAGTATGGTTAAGAAAAATGATGAATAATCATATACGCTATTGACATTTAACCTCAGATCACAGGCAAGTTGACAGAGACACAGCAGAGGAGGCTGTATTCTCAGAAGAGGAGCAACAGGTTGCTCACGTCGGGGTGGAGCTGAAGCCCAACTCAGGTTGAGTCTCTGGAAAGCATTATTCAGAGTGCCCTGTGATTGTCCTTTCCAAAACCACTGATGTTAATGATGGTTCAGATTGCATGGCTGCCCAACTCATTAAACCCTCAAGAGAGGAGCTCTGATTACCATGGAGCAGAGAAGCTCTGGTAGACAAAAGTATGGAAACTGCATCTTATTTAATGCTCTAACTTCAACCTTTAAAAAGTACTTTGCACATTAAAGGTACTAGCATCCTGCTCTCATTGACATGTTGAATTCCTCAAAGCTGGCAATTAAGTTTTTTTTTTTAAGAGTAGTTTTTTTTTTTAAGATTTATTTATTTATTTTACAAACACTGGGTACAGTCAGAAGCGCAAGAGGGTGAGAGAATTCACCAGAGCAGGGAGCAGAACAAGCGGAAGGACCGAAGTACACTGCAGCTGGCGGCAGGAGAGGCGGCTGGGGATCGAACTGGTGCTGCAGAGGCTGCGGGCAGCTTAGCAACCCAGCTTCGCAACCCAGCTCTCAACTGCTGAGCCACCGGGGAGGCCCTGGCAATTAAGTTTTAAGAGTGTATATTCTTCTCATTGATTGAAATAAAACTAATTTCAGTTAAAATGCCAGTAAACAAAAAACACATTAGCAAAAATCTTGCTTGCCATTGTTTTAGAAGGCAGCTTGCAGTCTTACTTTGATTCTGCTGGATTTTTTCCTTCAATTTTCTATTTTTAAAAGATGTCCATAATTATTAAGCATAACCTAAAAAAACTTTCATATGTCATAAGCAGGTTGTAAACTTATAGGACTACATCTCCATTGTCTGACAATTGTATTTAAGAGCTTCTCCCTCCACAAATGAGGAATAGATACTTGTTCTGAAATAATTCATATGCCTCAATAAGAATTAATCAGAGGGCCTCCCCGGTGGCGCAGCGGTTGAGTACTGGGTTGCAAAGCTGCCCGCAGCCTCTGCAGCACCAGTTCAATCCCTGGCTGCTCCCCAGCCACCGGAGGAGGGTCCCACATGGCATGCAGAGCTCTCCTGCCACCCGCTGCTCCCCTCAGCAGTGTACTTCAGTCCTTCTGCCTGCTCTGCTCCCCGCTCTGGCTCTGGTGAATTCTCTCACCCTCCCACGCTTCTGACTGTACCCAGTGCTTGTATGTATAAATAAATAAATAAATAAATATACAAAAAAAGAGAATTAATCAGAAAGTTGTCTGGTTTTCGAACAAAGACAACACACAAAAAGAAAACTACAGGCCAATGTCTCTAATGAACACTGATGCAAAAGTCCTCAATAAAATTTTAGCTAACAGAATCCAACAATGTATCCATAAGATAATACACCACGACCAAGTAGGATTTATTCCAGGGACACAAGGATGGTTCAACATGCAAAAATCATTCAGTGTAATCCAACACATCAACAAAAAGAAATATAAAAACCATATAATAATATCAATAGATGCTGAGAAAGCTTTCCACAAAATACAACACCCATTTATGATAAAGGCCCCTGAAATTCTTGGGATACAAAGAACATACCTCAACATCATAAAGGCTATATATGACAAGCCCATAGCCAATATCATTCCCAATAGTGAAAAGTTAAAAGCATTTCCATTAAGATCTGGAACAAGACAAGGATATCCACTCTCACCACTGCTTTTCAATATAATGCTGAAAGTCCTAACCAGAGCAATAAGACAAGAGAAAGACATACAAGGAATCCAAATACGGAAGGAAGAAGTTAAACTATCACTCTTTGCAGATGATATGAAAATATACATAGAGAACCCCAAAAACTCCACAGAAAAACTAATCAAATTAATCAATCAGTTTAGTAAAGTAGCAGGATACAAAATCAACACACAAAAATAGTGGCCTTCCTATACACAAACAATAGATCTGAAGAAGAAATCAAGAAAACCCTCCCTTTATTATTGAAACAAAGAAAATTAAATACTGGGAATAAATCTAACAAAAGAGGTAAAGGACCTATACAAAGAAAACTATAAAGCACTGTTAAAAGAAATAGAAGAAGACACAAAGAAATGGAAAGACATCCCTTGTTCATGGATTGGAAGAATTAACATCATCAAAATGGCCATCCTACCAAAAGCAATTTACAGATTCAATGCTATTCCAATAAAAATTTCAATGACATTCTTCAAAGAAATGGAACAAATATTGACAAAATTCATATGGAACCACCAAAAAACCCAAATAGCCAAAGCTCTCCTGAAAAAAGAGAAGGGAATGGAGGCATCACACTCCCAGATCTCAAACTACACTACAAAATCATAATAATCAAAACTACATGGTATTGGAACAAGAACAGACACACGGACCAATGGAACCAGAATAGAAATTCCAGATATAAACCCACAGATTTACAGTCAACCAATCTTTGACAAAAGAGCAAAGAATATGCAATGGAGCAAAGAAAGTTTGTTCAATAAATGGTGCTGGGAGGGGCCTCCCTGGTGGCGCAAGGGGTTAAGCACAGCAC